TTCTTAAGTGGTATTGAACTACAGACCTTGTGATTGTGACCTGAGAGCACTACCACTGTGCTATTGACCCATAGGTCATATATACATATATATGTTATAACATATAACTGTAATATATTAAATGTAAAATAAATTTATTTTCTTTTATACTATATATTTTTTTAAGCATGATACAAAACTTTATTTGACATTTTTATCTGTATACATATATCAGATTTGTACAAAATCTAATATTATATTATGCATTTTCCAATCACTGCTGATAAAATGTGCAATTATCACTAGAAATGCCTTCATAAAAGTTGATGTTCAAATATCAAGGGTAAATAAAATACAGCTCTTCTCTTCTTGTAAAAATTTTTTAATTTTTTCTTGATCAGTCAAGTACGAATCCATTATATATATTTTAACAGATGAAGTAACTGATATTTTAGTTTTTTATAAGATTGATTGAATAAATATATATAATACTGGCTCCTCTATAATCATAAAAGAATGTTGGTTTATAATGATCCATTGGATAAGATTTTGTTTTACTTTTTCATATTCATGTATCTACTATATAAAAATCAAATTTTAGTATGGTTTTAAATTTAATAAATATATTTATACTGACTATTGTAGTATTAAAAAATTTTTCGATTAAAGATTTATTAGAGTATGAATTTATTTTTATCGGGTGGTTTTTTTCTAGGTATTTGAAAAGATTAGAGGTACTGCCTCCATTATAGATATATTTGATATTACAATAATTGTAAGAAACTTTTTTACTTTCATTAAAATCAGAATCCTTTGTAAAATAATTTCACACTTTATTTCTATAATTTATTTTATTACTCGATAATGTCTCTGAAAAATTACTTGTAGTAACATTACTAGTATCACTCAATTCATAACTATCTAAACTAAAACTTTTATCATTTATTTCATTGGAATAATTGAAAGAACTATTATATTCCATTTTATTTTTTGATATAAATAATATAAATAATGTTGCAGAGAGAAAAATATCATAAAAAATATCACAAAATATTAAAGAAATATGTAAAGATGTTAAAGGAATATAAAAAAAAAATCCAGGTTTTTTTTTTTTAATTACCTTAAATAGCTATATTTAAATATAGTTAAACTGCCAAATTTTATTTGAACCTGACTAGATTTTAAAACTTGAAATCTGATTAGTTTCAAAATTTAGAATCTGATCAGATTGGAATTTAAAATTTAAAATTCGTATTCAATTTGAATACAAATGGATCAAAAAATTTAAAATCTGATCTGATCTGTTCGGATCAAATCCATGGATCATTCAGATTCAAATAAAAATTGTGATCTCTAACTACTAATAGCTCCAATAGATAGCAAAATCGAGATTTTTACAGATAGTCAAGCCTGTATCTTGAAGTGAAAAACTATAGAAAAGAATAATCCCAAAATAACTCACAAAAGATGATTAAAAGAAAAAAACTGGTTCTTATGGATACATATATTGGATTTCATAAAGAAAAAGAAACTGAATCTCAAGTTTATCAAGGTTAAGACACACTTCAATATCCAGTATAATGAAAAGACAAATACTTTAATCAAAAAAGTATTAAGATTTCCAATAATAAAATAAAAAAAATTGATCTCACCCAAGATGATCACAGAAATTAAATAGCAGAATATTGTGCTAGATATCTCGATAAGACAAATCATTAAAAAAATTAATAACAAAGTAATAACCTAACAATAGATAACTTAATGTAAAATTGAAAAGAGATGGGACCAGTAAATCTAAGATCAATACAGATATATGTGGGACATTGTATGGGAACATTTTAATAAAGAACACACATGGAACCTCTTATTTAAAAGCTCACGAAACAAAAGTTTTCTCATTAAATTGATTAATAATAAGCTATCAACACTTATAAAGCTAGTTATAAGAAGATCATATCTTTATAAGCAAATGAAATGTATTATGTATGATTAGGAAGAGAAAACAATAGAACACTTGCTAGAATGCCTAGCTTACAAGACTCAGTGGAATGAGACATGGCAAAAAAGAATCAAAGAAGTCTTGAAAAGATTCAGAAAACTCTTAAAAGAAAGAAAAACTGAATAGAAGAGAAAGAGTTAAGTTTGAGAATAGATGCTAGAATAGAAATAGAAGAAATCAACAAACAAATAGCAAAACTGGTAGAAAAAATCTCAGAAACCAGTTAGGGCATACTTAGCTTCTATATGGAACTAATAGAAGAAGAACTAATTATTAAAATATTAGATTTGACATGTTATAGTAAGATAATTGAAAAAAAAACAAAAAAATAGATAACAAAGATACAAAAAAAAGTACATAATTACTTTCAAAAGAAAATATAAAATGCAAGATGTGAAAAGATAATTGAATGGAAACAAAAATTAGGAATCTGCAAATATAACAAGATAAAAAGACCATCATATCCACGAGATAAAAAAAAAATAACAAAATTATAGAAAGTCAATCCAGTAAGAAACTGATATATGAAGAAAAAAAAATTAAAAACAAGAAGTTGAAAGAAATCCTATTAAATGAAATGAAGTATGGTATGAAATGGTTGAGATAATTTTTGTCAGAACTCAAAAGAGTGATCTGCAGTAGTGATCTGTGGGCAATGATGTTAGAAGTTAAAAGGGTTTTCACCTAAATTTCTAATGGAGTGATAAATCACTTTCGAAGTTACACTTAGAGAGGTAATACAACCAAAACAAGTGAGTTAATTAGAAATTTAGCTTTAGCATTTCATTTAATATGTATAGCTTACAAATGTTTAATAAAGCACACATAACTAACCTAACAAAGGATTAAAAAAAAAAAAAAAAAAATTGATGTAATTCTTAAGAATTTAATTATTCATCAGATATTAAATTATTTCTTAATAAAAATCTGTATCTACATACCATGGTAATATATATGTAATTGCAGGTTAAAAAAAAAATTTAATAGTAGAATTAAAAGATTAACAATAATGATATACAGTATATAGTTTACAAATAGAGAATCGTTTTTTTAAAACAATTGATAAGCCACATGATTATCGCAATTCACCGCAGCAAAGTATCACAAAGAATAAAAAATTTTTTTTATTCGACCTTGCGCAATTATAAATACTCGGCAGAGAGTTTACCTAGAATCCTTCTCTTTCTTACACATAACGGTCCTAAGAGAAAATTATTTATTGTTCCTTTTTCCTTTCCTCCGGGTCTCTAGTCACTCCATTTATCCGAGTAAAACGAAAACATGGTATGGTTTTTTCTGTTGACTCAGCCTCTAAAAATGTAAGAAAATGTCGGACTAATTGTGAATTCGTAATAGGTGAACTTTACGGTAGACCAAATCCGCGCTCTTGTGAGTAAATCTCAATTTTAATAAAAATTAAATTGGTTAGTTGAAAAACTCTTTGAAATATATAAATGGTGATATTGTGAAATCAGATGGACCGCGTTTCCAACGTTCGTAACATGTCCGTCATTGCGCACGTCGATCATGGAAAGTCCACATTGACCGATTCGTTGGTATCCAAAGCCGGTATCATTTCGTCAGCGAAAGCTGGCGAAACACGTTTTACTGATACTCGACAGGACGAACAGGATCGATGTATTACAATCAAGTCCACAGCTATTTCGATGTATTTTGAATTAAACAAGGAAGATCTTGGCGACGTAAAGCAAAAGACTGATGGTAATATGAATAAAATGATTTTATTTACGAGATTATTTTTTTTATTTTTATTTTTATTTTATTTTAATTTTCTTTATCTATTCTCGTAGGTAACGAATTCTTGATTAATTTAATCGACTCTCCCGGACACGTTGATTTTTCCTCGGAAGTTACTGCGGCCCTTCGTGTTACCGATGGTGCTTTAGTTGTCGTTGACTGTGTTGAAGGTGTATGCGTGCAGACAGAAACTGTCTTACGTCAGGCTCTAACTGAACGTATCAAGCCCGTAGTGATTATTAATAAGGTTGATCGTGCCTTGTTGGAGTTACAGCTCACAAAAGAAGATTTATACACTGTATGTTGTTATAATGTTTCTTCATTTGTTAATTACTATCACTGATTGAGAGTTCGTTATTTTTTATTGATGTTTTATTTTATTAAATATACAAAAATAGTCATTCCAACGTACAATCGAGTCAGTGAATGTTATTATTTCCACTTACTTTGACAAGACGCTTGGTGATGTTCAGGTTTACCCAGAAAAGGGTACCGTTGCTTTTGGTTCAGGACTTCATGGTTGGGGTTTCACCCTCCGTCAATTTGCCCGACGTTATTCAAAAAAATTTGGTGTCGATCAAGAAAAGATGATGCAAAAACTTTGGGGCGAAAATTATTTCAATCCGGCCACTAAGAAATGGACAACGAAACAAACCACACCCGAAGGAAAGACACTTGAGAGAGCGTTCTGTATGTTTGTCTTGGATCCAATCTTTAAGTTGTTTGATGCCATTATGAACTTTAAGAAAGAAGAGGCATCAAAAATGATTGAGAAATTGGAGATATTATTGAAGAGTGATGAAAAAGATCTCGAAGGAAAAGCTCTCCTTAAAGTCGTGATGAAAAAATTTCTACCGGCCTCAGATGCTTTACTTGAAATGATAGTAATTCATCTCCCATCCCCGGTAACTGCTCAAAAATATCGTGCAGAATCATTGTACGAAGGTCCTGCGGATGATGAGTGCGCTATTGGAATTCGAGATTGTGACCCCAACGCTCCACTTATGTTATATGTTTCTAAAATGGTGCCGACTTCTGATAAAGGTCGTTTCTATGCTTTCGGTCGTGTATTCTCTGGCACCGTAAGATCAGGTCTCAAAGTTCGTATCCAGGGTCCTAATTATCAACCAGGAAAAAAGGAAGATTTGTTCTTAAAGTCCATTCAGCGCACCATTCTAATGATGGGTCGTTATGTTGAACCAATTGAAGATTGTCCTGCCGGTAACATTGTTGGACTTGTTGGTGTTGATCAATACTTGCTCAAGTCTGGTACCATCACCACCTCCGAAACGGCACATAATCTAAAAGTCATGAAATTCTCTGTATCACCTGTCGTGCGAGTGGCTGTTGATGTGAAGAATGCTAATGATTTGCCAAAATTAGTCGAAGGATTAAAACGTCTCTCCAAATCAGATCCTTGTGTCCAATGTTCTACTTCCGAATCCGGAGAACACATCGTAGCTGGTGCTGGAGAGTTGCATTTGGAAATTTGTTTAAAGGACTTGGAGGAAGATCATGCACAAGTTCCAATTAAAACTGGTGATCCAGTGGTAGCGTACCGAGAAACAGTTCAAGCCGAATCATCAGTTGTCGCCTTGTCTAAGTCGCCCAATAAACATAATCGTCTGTACATGAAGGCCATGCCAATTCAAGAAGAACTTTCTTCAGACATTGAAACCGGGAAAATTGGCCCACGTGATGACTTCAAGGCTCGTGCCCGTATCCTAGCTGAAACTTATGGTTGGGACGTAACCGATGCCCGTAAAATTTGGTGTTTTGGACCCGAGACCACCGGTCCAAATTTATTGGTTGATGTAACCAAGGGAGTTCAATATCTTAACGAAATCAAGGATTCGTGTGTTGCCGCTTTTCAATGGGCCACAAAAGAAGGCGTATGCGCTGAAGAATATATGCGATCATGTCGGTTCAACATCATGGACGTGGTGTTACATGCTGATGCCATTCATCGCGGTGGTGGCCAGATCATTCCCACCTGCCGTCGTGTCATTTACGCTTCGTGTTTATTAGCCACCCCTGGTATCTTAGAACCTGTATATCTCGTCGAAATTCAGTGCCCAGAATCTGCAATGGGTGGTATCTATAGTGTATTGAACAGACGTCGCGGTCACGTCTTTGCCGAAGAACAGCGTGCTGGTACTCCATTGTATAATGTCAAGGCTTACTTGCCGGTAAATTTCTCGATAATTTGTTATCCTTACATTTGTTAGACTGCGAAATGTCTGTACAATTTTTAAACATTTTTTTAGGTCAACGAGTCATTTGGATTCACTGCTGACTTGCGGTCAAATACCGGTGGACAAGCTTTTCCTCAAGCGGTCTTTGACCAGTTACGCGATCATTTAATTTATATTTACATATCTCTATTTTTTTATTGGATATATATTAAAAAATTTTGTTTTTTTTCTTCTTTTAAAACCGCATCTCTAATATTTAACCATACAGCTGTAAGTCCAGTTCACACACATGCGTTTCTTTTTTACCACTTTTTTACTCAATAAATATTTTTACTTATTAGGGCAATTAATGAGCGGCACACCACTAGAACCCGGAAAGGTTTCCGATCTTGTTAAGGCCGTCAGGAAAAGAAAGGGGCTCTCGGAGGATATTCCAAGTCTCGATAAATATATGGACAAATTGTAATTTCGGGATCTCAGGTCTTTTTATTCGATGTTTGGTATGTTTGGTATTTTTGTGTGTTATGCATTCATGCGCAATAAAACAATTCATATGAGAGTGGTGGGCGCAAGGGTGCATTACACACTAAAATATTAGTGTACTTTACCGTATAACAGCAAAAAAAAACTTTGACAAAATGTACGTACGCAATAGACTGGTTACGTTACTTTAATAAATATTCACATAAAATTTAATAAATAAGATACCAAAAAAAAAAAAAAAAAACTTATGACATCGCGTACGGACAAGATTCCTATATAATTAACAACATTTTGTAAAAATCGATACCTATTTACAAACCAAAAATGATTACTAATAAAATTTAGTATAAAATGCTTTAAGCACTCGATTCTTCCAAAAGTTATGTATGACATTCTTTCAAGTTTGGATCAAGCTGAAATCCTCGTTTCTCGGTTTGAATTGAACCAAAAGAAAAACTTTTTTTATCCCTAGTGTTATATAATTATGAATGTTTATCTGATTCAACAAAACTATATTAAGATTTCTTGTAACGATAATCTAATGCATGTGACGTTATGCTCCTTTTATGTACTTATGCAATATAAAAATTATTTGCCTGTTAATATGCTGATTGAAGGAAATGGCAGAAACTCCTCCGTTAAATGCTCAGATAATTCGCGGACTTAATGATAGGGTATATGATAAACGAAAGGCCGCGGCGTTAGAGGTTGAGAAGTAGGTTCGAAGTGGAATTAATAGAGTTGAAGAACATTCGACTAGACTCACCGATAACCATTCATTTGTGAACAGACTCATCCGGGAATACTCTAAAGATAATAAAGACTCGGATAAAATTCGAGCCGTTATTGATAAGTTGGTTTCCGATTTTGCTTATTCAATAAACGCGAATTCGCGCAGCGGAGGGTTAATAGGCTTGGCAGCCGCGTCGATAGCTTTGGGATCCGTGAGTCTTTGCAGTCGTGTTTAATTAATAAAAAAATTATCACTTTTAATTAAATAAGACTTATGTTCTATATAGAATGTTGCCCCCTATCTAGATGACATAGTTGCACCCGTACTTGCTTGTTTCACCGACCAGGATTCGCGCGTTAGGTATTATGCGTGCGAAAGTATGTATAATATAGCCAAGGTATCCAAAGGCGAAATATTAAGGTACTTTAACGAAGTATTTGATGCGATGTGCAAGGTAAATAATACCTTATAATGCTACTAGATCTCCTTGATGTCTTCGAAAGTACACTAACCCTGAACAAAGCATACCTTATAATCATCGTTTGCGTGTCACCTTCTCATCGGCATAGCTAGCAGCAGATTCCGAACTTTCCGTAAAAAATGGGGCAGAACTTTTGGACAGATTAATTAAAGACATTGTAGCAGAACAATCTACCTCATACGTGTCGACCCTGGTTCTTGCATCCATGACGCATGAAGAATTGATGGACCCTGTCTCAATGCCACGCACTACAGCATTCTCTTTGCCTCGATTTATTCCTTTACTTTCAGAACGCATTCGCGCCACAAATCCTTACACGCGTAATTTCCTGGTATCATGGATTACAATGTTGGACTCAATTCCAGATCTCGAACTCGTATCTTTTTTACCTGCTTTTTTGGATGGACTCTTACAATTTTTAAGTGATCAAAATAAGGATGTAAGATACACAACCTCGACGGTGTTGGCAAATTTTTTAGCCGAAATACGTGAAGCGGCTGAAGTTAAAGAGCAACAAAAACAACAAGCAATGAAAAATTATTATGTGGAACAACAAAGAAAGCTTGTTACCGCATCCGAAACCGCTAGTGATGCTGGGGAAAGTGTTAGAGATAGTAATGTTAGTGCCGATGGTGACGATGTTGCTTTTGGGAAATCAGGTGTTTATTCACTAGATGGAGATATTAACTGGGATGCAATCTCAATAAGTGAGACGGAAGGCAGGGGAAAAGGTTCATGGGTTCCTGGGCAAGGTGTCGTTATTGATTATATCAAGGTTGTCGAAATATTGATGCCGCATTTATCCTCACAAGGTTATTATTTTGGCATTTTTCTTTCAATCACATTTATATCGACACTAAAAGAAAATTATTGAATGCAACGTAGAGGAAGAAATTCAAGCCACGGCCTTAAGATGGATCAATGAATTTACGAATCTCGCCAAGGAGGTGATAATATCCTTCACGCCCAAACTAATCAGTGCCGTATTGCCTTCACTAGCGCATTCAGTTTTGAATATCCTTTCATTATCATCTAATATTAGTTTTCATTGAATGGTTCATGGCTTTATGTTTAATTCCTGATGAATGGATCCTACATTGCTTGTTTCTAGTATTAACTTATCTGAACTCCATTATATTGAAGGTGTTATTTTCCTTGATGAAAGTCTTTACTTATTAGGAACAGTGCTGTGGAAGTCAACAAGAATCTTCACAAGATGATTCTTGAAACACCAACAAACAGCACTCCATCTTCGCAGCCGCCGCCGCCGTATTCAGTTGTTACCAAGGAATCATCATCCTTCTCCTCAACTTCTTCTATTGATTCATCACTTGGTTTTTCTCACGTGGGAGGTCATAGAGAACCTCCAGCTAATTCGCTGCCATTAATATACGAACAAGCCGATCCATTTGATTATCAGGCAACCGTGGATTCATTGGTCCATCAATTTTTAAATGAACATGAAGAAACCAGGGTAGCAAGTTTGGATTGGTTGTTGATGCTCCACAAAAAAGCACCAAGGAAGGTTTGTGAATGCGAAGTTTCTTTCCTTCTTTTTTTTTGATAGGTTAATATTAATATTATTTTGAAATTATGAAGATTCTTGCGATTGACGATGGTACATTTCCAGTATTACTAAAAACCCTATCTGATCCTTCGGAAGAGGTATAATACAATTCATCATATGATAGTATGAATTCTTGATCTCATATTACTAATCTACTTTTGAAACTCCAAGGTCGTCAAGCGAGATCTTCAACTTCTTGCTCAACTGTCGTCTACCTCTGAGGATGAATATTTTACTCGTTTTATGGTTGATCTATTGAAATTGTTTAGCACTGATCGAGCATTACTCGAATCAAGGGGCAGTTTAATTATTCGTCACTTGTGTCAGAGTCTCAATTCGGAAAGAATCTATCGAAGTTTTGCCGAAATTTTAGAAAGAGAAGAGGTCAGTCACTTGAACGTTTCCATGAAGATTTATTTGTAATTAACATAATCATTATCCTATCCAAAGGATATAGAATTTGCTTCGAGCATGGTTCAAAACCTCAACAATATTCTCATTACATCACCAGAACTCTCGGACTTGCGAAAGAGACTCAAAAACCTTGAAACCAGAGACGGACAAATGTTATTCACTGCTCTATATAAATCCTGGTGTCACAACCCTGTGGCCACATTTTCCCTTTGTTTATTGGCACAAGCTTATGAACATGCGGCGAATTTATTACAGAGCTTGTACGTTAAATGTTATTTTTTTTTTACAGAAGTATTGTACCTTGAGTGGTCCCAATTAAATTCAATTAATGACTACTTCTTTCTTATTTTGTTAGTGCTGATCTTGATATAACTGTCAACATCCTAATTCAAATCGATAAACTTGTTCAATTGCTTGAATCGCCGGTGTTTACATGTAACAATCAAACACTCGATTATTTTAATTGTATAAATTTAATGACATTGGATTAATATTTACTATCAACAATTCTAAATAGATTTACGCTTACAACTACTTGAACCCGACAAATATCCCTACCTTTTTAAGTGTCTCTATGGTTTATTAATGCTTTTACCACAGAGTAGTGCATTTGCAAGTTTAAAAAAAAATCGATTAACCAGTGTTTCTTCAATGGGATTTCTACATTTAATTCCGCCAAAGAAGTAAGAATGAAGAGACGAACGCATTTACATATTCCTGGAATACGGATTTATTTGATTGAATTTTATTATATTTAAATCTAATTAAGCTCATCCACGTCCGGAAGGTCGACCTCCAAATTGCCATCCGCGAAAGATGATGGTATAAAATTTCACGATCTTCTAACCCATTTCAGAACCGTACAAACAAAACATGAGAAGATCAGAAAGCAAGGTGTCTTTGATCGATTTTAATTCATTGTTGTCTTATGCTTATATAATTACTGAAATCTAACCTTTATTATTCTTGTCCAAACAGCTCTCCAATCACTAGGAAAAACAGGTCAATCTATGCGCAATCGTCGTACGCGCGACCGAGATTATCGTGAACGCGACCGTACACAATTATCATCGAGTGTATCACATTCTTTATCCGTATCTAGTAAACACGGAACTCCGTCCACAAATTCATCAGATAATCGAGGAAATATGAGTACTAATCATACCAAAAGTAGTAATGTTTCAGGCAATCTACAAACGAGTCACTCAAAGAGGCGTCCCAGTGCAGCTAGTTCAGTTGGTTCGGTAAATGATCATGGGACCGTGAATGCGAATTCTCGTCCACAAAGTCCACCATCCAGCGGAAGACGTGGAGTTGTCTATAGGAAGTAGTTTTTGTGAAATTTTTATTGCACTCGTAGATGTTGTGATTACTTCTAAAGGATCCTAAGCTTCCGGAGAGATCTCCTATTTGATCTTGATAATAGCACTCTTATGTCTGCGACGATTAGATTTCCAACATTAGACGAAGGCTTCCACAAAGAACTCACCATTAACATTTATGCGAATAAAATTGGATTGGGATCAAATAGACACTAAAATTTTATTATTGACAGGTCCTAATTTAATGTGTTTGTTCTCATTTTTTTTAAAAAAAATGCAATCAGATAGTAACGACTTTTCTATCAATATGTTTTTAATTTTTATTTTATCAATATTATGGAAAAATTTTTTTTAAAAAAACCTATCTATTTATTAATTATATTAAGAAATTTGAATTTATTTTCCAATACGTTAATCTATTGATCCTATTTAAATTTAATAAAAACTTTTTAAACATTATTGAATTTGATATTTAGAATAGAAAAGATAAGATAATAACTTTCATGAATAAAAAAAAAAGTAGGTGGAAAAGTTAAATTATTTATTAATATATCTTTTATAATAGGTAACTTTTAAAGTTTTTGATAAATTTTTTTTTAATTAATATTATTGTTCAAATAAAAACTACAAAAAATTCATATGGAATACATATAAATAAATTAAAACAATACTATTAAATATATCTTCTATATTTTAATAATAAAATATTAAAATTAATTTCAAATATATATTATATAACTATTAATTCAAATTAAAATAAAGTTAATCAAAGTTATAAAAAAAAACTCTTTTTATTGATTCTTTATCTATATAAAAAAAATATTTGTAAAAAATTTTTTTATTTTTTTACAAATAAAGTTTTAATATTATTTTTAAATTAATTTATTGTTTTATTTCAAGAGATATTTCCAAATCTCATCTCTTGTTTATATTTATTTTTAAACAAAAACTTGACTTCCTGTAATTTGAAAAAGTCAAGAAATATTTTTTCTACCTATGGCTAATGATGGGTCCCTAAAGTATTTGGCATATAAAGTTTCACAGATCACTTATGTCCCTTTTTGAGAAACAAAATTCATAGCTCTTCACTTTAATAGAGACAAAAGTCAAAAAATATTATAAATCAATGATTTGAATAATGAAAAACAATTGTAAATAGTTTTTTTATAGTTGTTATTTTAAAAATTTTAATGTTTTCTAGTAAGTGACATTTGACTTTTGTCCCTACCTCCCTTTTTAAGAACCCATTTTTACCTATGGCAAGAAAATTTTGCAAGAAAAAAAAATCAATAGTATAATACTCAAAGTCTTTATATTGAATCATAGCTATAAAGGTTTTGTGCAATAAAATGTGACAAATATCAAATCATATTTTCAAAGTATTTGTCTACTGTTTTTTTTTTCTTATAGTCATTCAAATTTTTTAATTTTTTAAAGAATTTTATCTATTTCAATTTGATCTGAATTTAAATAATCCAATTTATTATAAAATATAATTGACACTAGTTAAAATTATGCCATTCAGTAACTTAATTATTGTTGAATTTAATTAAATTTAATAATAAAAATATTGTCTAATTTTTTTTCAATTGTTACTACTTAATGTATTACTATTTCA